ATTTTAAAAAAAAAAAATTAAAAAAAATAAAAAATAAATGAAAAAAAAAAAAAACAATGTTTAGTAATAATAATTTATTTTTAACTTTTTAAATTACACTTTATTATATAAACTATACTTGTTATTCTCTAATAGCTAATTAAAAAAATTAAAAAAATTAAAAAAATATAAAACAATATAATTATTAAAATTTATTTTTAAACAGTTATCCAAAATAGGTATGTTTTTTCTTTTTAAAAAAAGGTAGATATAATAAAACTCTATTTTATTTTATTCTAACTATTATGTTTATTATTTACAAAATGTTGTGGGTTATTTTTTGTTTTTCTTGTTTTTTTTATATAAAAAAAATGTTATTGTGGGTATATTATCATTATTAATTATAATTATTATTATTATTATTATTATTATTATTATTATTATTATTATTATTATCCCACCGCTACCATTATTTAAAAGTTGTTCGTTTGTATTAAAATAGTGGGATTATAATCGATAAATAAATTGTTTAAATATAAGTGTCTGCCATATGTTTCTTTCTTTGAACCATAGTTTTAAATTGATCTTCGATATTTAAAAATTCGTTAGTGAGACATTCGATTGATTTTTTGATTGAATCTAATGGAGTTGTATTTTGATTGGTTTGGATTCTAATGTTAACATTATGTTCCAATGGATGTGGCATTCTGTAACCAGCAAAGATAATATCTGGATCAGCAACTAATTGCATTCTAACAAGATTACCAACTGTATGATCTTCCTTTAATATTACAAACATTGATGCATTTGGAATTTTGGTATCCCTAGTCATTGTAACTCTGTATAAAAAAAAATAATTAAAATAATTAATTATCTCTTTTTTTTTTTTTATTTTTTTTTTTTATTTCCTCTTTTAATTTTACTTTTTTGCACCTTCAGGTAAAACAAATAATTCAAAACGATCTGGAGCATTCATTTTTTAATTTTTTATAAAATAGATAAACTCTAAAGTATAACGATTTGTAAATAAAATAAAATGAAATGAAATTAAAAAAAAAAATAAAAAAATTAAATGAAAATTTTAAAAAAATTAAAAAAAAATTTTAAAAAAAAAAATAAAAAAAATAAAAAATATTAAACGAAATTTTTTTGGTTTATTTATACTCCATTTACATTTTTAAAAGAAATTTACAAAAATTGATTAAAAATTATTTACAGAAATACTAAGCAACATTGACTATTTAAATTTGCTCAATACTTATAAATGGCTTGTATCTTTCATTTAGATCATTTAATTCTTTTTGACATTTTTCTAAAATATAGGTGGCCTCCATATTATAACCATCTTGAATTTCCAATTTTGGTGAAACTGAACATTCTTGGCTATTATAATTTGTAACACATTTGCCATCGTCATTACTTTCTTCATCTTCTTCATCGCTACTATAATCAGTCATATCATTTGGATAACTATATTTGTTAAAACTATTTTCATCCAAGAAGCTTGAGGATTGTGGTTGCGATGATGTTGATAATGGTGATTGCGATGATAATGATAGTGGTGACAGAGGTGAACTATTTTCATTAATTCTAAAACTATTATTTATAAAATCTTTAATTCTATTGGTTGAACTATTTAATTGATATTCTGGGTCATCTTTTTCATTATAAAACAACTCCTGTTGGTTTGGACATCCTGATAAATCCAGGTATCTTACATGCTTTTGTCTAAACGGTGAATAGTAAATTAATGGTGATGGTGTTTGTTGAGTTGTCTCTAATATCATTTTATTTGGTAATTGTTTATTGGGTGTATTTATTTTATTTTTTTTATTTGTATTTTGAAATGAAACTATAATTTGCTGTATGAATAAAAAAATTAAATTAATACTTTTTATTTTTTTTTATTTTATTTTTTTTTCATAAAAAGTGTGGTTACCTTAAAATCATTCAATAATGTCATTGAAATACATAATAAAAATAACTTTTCCATTAAACTGTCAAAATTTGTAAATCCAATGTAGAATAAAAATATTGATATTAAAGTTGGTATTGAATATAAAATTGATTTACATTTTGAAAATGTTCCTCCACCATTTTGAAAAATTTTGTAAATATTGATAAGAATATGAATACTAATTAATGAATTATAAAAACAATAAAATACTATTATATTTGCTAAAATAAAATCTATCAAAACTCTAATTGTTATATTTTCTTTTACCTTTGAATTTATAGCCTGTTTTAATAAAAAAAATTAGTAAATAAATTAAAAAAACATAATATAATTTTTATATTTACCAAACAATTATTTAATAATAATATTGAATAACCAAATAAAATTGTATATTTTAATTCTGTGCTGTTGATATTTATTTTTATAAGTGAAACAATATCATAATATAAATGAACCAATACTATTATTAAAAAAACATTATTATAAAAATTTCTATTTTTATTTTTTTTGGTGGTAAAATAAATAGTGAATTTTGTTAAATTTAAACACACCAAAAAAACCAAAACTTTAATAAAATCTTCCTCTAGGAATTGAGTGTATGTATGTGAAGGTATTGAAAAAAGACAAACTCTAAATAAAATTGATAAAAAAATAATATAAGGAATTTCTTTTAAATACCTAAAAATTGTCATTTTAAAAATATGAAAATATAAAAAATAAATAAAAAAAAAAAAAGATAGATAAATAAATATTTAAAAAATAATTTATAAAATAATAAAAAAAAAAAATTAAAAAAAAAATAAATAAAAATAAAAAATAATTTTGTGTGTGTGAGTGTGTGTTGGTGGGAGTAGTTATTACTATTAGTGTTTTTTTAATTACAATAATATTATTTTATATGGTAATTTCAAAAAAAAAAAAAAAAAAAAAACTAAAAAAGATATTTTTACAATGAATTTAATCCATGATCCAGCATACAATTTTTAAATATGCATTGATATTAAACTTCAAACTAAATACAAAACCAAACAATAATAATAATAATAATATTTATAAAATTAATTTATAAAAAGTTTTTGTTTTTTTATTTTTTTTAAAGGTTTACAAATTACTTTAGACACCTATTTATTTAGTTTTTGGCTGAGTTTCTTTTTTCGACAATTGATTTGGCGATACGATCGAGATCTCTACGACCAGTAGCAGTGATGGTACGACCACCTTTGACGGCATCGACTTCAACAACTTTTAAGCTTTGTAATTGTTTTAAGCAATAACGGATATTACCACTGTTGGCATCAGCAAAGTGATTTGGTCTAACACCGTTTCTACGGTTACCACCGAAGGCTCTTTGGTAGGTACCAACACCATCACCACCTCTTAAATAAACTTTACGGGCAAGAGTGGCAATTCTGTAGTAGATCCAATCTGGGTTGCTTGGTGGGAGTTCTTTGTAGGTGGCGGTTTTGGCGATATCAGCCCATTTTGGGATTTGAACACGACCGGTTTTTTTTAAGAATCTAGCATAGGTAGCAATGAATTCTTGTGGGCAGACGTCTTTAACGGTAACAGCAGTTGAGGCCACTATAATATGATAATAAATAATACAATTAATATAATCTTCTTTTTTTTTTAAAAAAAATATAAACAACAAATGATTTTGTCTTTTTTTTTTTTTTAAACTATGGTAAATGTGTGGTGTGTGTGAAAATAATAAACTCTATGAATATGAAATGTGTGGAAAAAAATAAATCTTTTGATAACAACTACTTTTTGTGTCGATTATATTTTGGAAAATAGAAACAAATGAAAAATAAAAAATTAAAAAAAAAGGATGAAATTTTTTTAAAAAATACGAAAATTTTGCGAGAGTTTTTTTTTATAAAAAAAAATGTTGGTAATGTTATCTAAATTTTGACATAGTCTTTAATAGAATTATTTGATTATAATTTATTATCTGTAAATCCCTATTAAAAATTATCTGTGCCTATAAAAAATTTCCTTTAGAATATCTTTTTTTTTATGCCCTATAAATCCAATCATATTTTCTATATTTGATATATTTCCTTTTATTGTATCTGTATTATAAACGAATGTGTGTGAATGTGATGTGTGAATATGATGTTGTTAAATATTTTTTATTTCTTAATTGTTACTATTTTTTTTTTTTTTAATTTTTTTTTTTTTATTATTATTTAAAAAATAAAATAAAAAATAGTATTATATTAAATAAAATAAAAATAAAAAACTCATCATTTATTATTTATGTGAATGGGTGATTTAATTTATAATAATAGTTAACCATAGTGAAAAAAAAAAAAAAAAGAAAAAATTACATGAACAAATAAAAAAAAAGTTTATATGTACTTTTTTGATTATCGTGGTGGAAAAAGAATGAGCTATTTTTTTTTTTTGTTCCAAAGTACGCTCATAAAAAAAGTTCGCATAGAGCAAAAAAAATTTAAAAAAAAATTTAAAAAAAAAACGAAAATTATCAATAAACCAAAAAAAATTTTACACAACTTGGTAAAAACTTTGTAAAAAACTATCCATACTAAAAAAAACAAAGCGAGAGGTGTTGCCAAATTTTTTTTTTTATTTTTTTTTGACCAAAAAATTTTTACGAGTGAAAAAAAAAAAAAAAAAAAAAGAAACAGTTGATTTTTTTTCCATCGCCATAGTAAGGTAGGCTTTATATCACTTTTTTTTTTATATGTATAAATTTACATATAAAATAAAAAAAAAAAAAAAGAAAATTTTTTTTTTGTGTAAATCAAATCAATTAAATAAAATAAAATGAAAATAAACAAAAAATAAAAATAAATTATTACATTCTTTTTTTATTTATTGATTTGGTTTTTAAAAAAAAATATTATTATTTTCTTTTTTCAAAAAAAAGTATTTTTAGGGTAATCGAAATTAAATAGAGAATAGAAAAATAGAGAGTTAGTTTATGGTTTAAATAAAATATCAAATAATAGAATACAACGATATAATAACAAACAGTAATAAACAAATAACATAACCATCACAAAATAAAAAAAAATAAAAATAATTTTGCGACATAGTTTTTTTTTTTAAAAAAAAAAACGAAAAAACTTTTTTTTTTTCTTTTTATTTTTTCAATTTAATAAAAAGTAAATTATAAAAAGGTATAAATCAAATAGAGTAAAGTTTTAGGGATTTTAGCATTAGTTATATTAAGGGATTAATTTCACAGTAGCGAATTTTTTTGGTTAAATCATACAGATTTTTTAGAACAAATAATAAAAATAATAATAAAATCAAAATAACTACTCTCACTATATTCTTTTTTAATTGGATATACACTTTAAATAAAAATACGAAAAAAGAAATAATAGATTCTTAATTTTTTTTTTTTTAAAACAAAAAAAAACCACATTAAATATTAATTTTAAAATCTATTATTTTAATAATAATGCAGAAAAAATGCCACACTCATTCGGTCTCCGTGCTCGTACTAGATACTTATTCTCCCGTGGTTTCAAACAACACGGTCTCTTAAAGACCACCACTTTCTTAAGAACCTTCAAACTTGGTGACTACGTTGATGTCAAAGCCACCGGTAATGTCCACAAAGGTATGCCACACAAATTCTACCACGGTCGTACCGGTCGTGTTTGGAATGTCACTCCACGTTCAGTTGGTGTCATCATCAACAAACGTGTTGGTCCAAGAATCATTGCCAAGAAAATCCACGTCAGAATTGAACACGTCAAACCATCAAACTCAATGGCTGCTCACTTAAAACGTATCGAAGAAAACAAAAAAGTTGTCGCTGATGCCAAGAAAAATAACACCTGGGTTTCAACCAGACGTACTCCAGCTGCTCCAAAAGCCGGTTTCTTCGTTAACCCAAGAGACACTGAAGTCCAAACCATCGCTCCATTACGTTATGAATTATTACTTTAAAGAACTTGATAATTTATATATAAAAGTGATTTATAAAATAAAAATTTACTAAAAAACAAAAAAAAATATAAAAAAAAATAATTTATAAAGATGTATATGTACAATCTTTTGTTTTTTTTATTGTGTAATAATTGTATGTACGCGTTTTTTATAGGTGTTTAAAAAAAATTTTATTTTGTGTGTTAAAGCATAACCAATTTATTTAATTTTTTTTATTTACAAATCATTTGACTAAATATATTTTATTATATATTATTGTTACTAGATGAACACGGTTTGTTTTTTCTTTATACACTAATATACATTTTAGTTGAAGTTGTGGATATAATCTGGCTTTTTGATGTTGTTATTGGTTATATGTTTTTTTTTTTGTTTTTTTTTTAATTTCTCTTTAATTCATATTCGATTGCTGATAAGTCATTTGAAGTGTCTACTATAAAATCTGCTTCGGTTGGTGATAACTTAATATTTCCCCAAATATCAACTTTGAGTCTCATATAACCATTAAAAACTTTAATCAAACCATTTCTGAGGATGATTGTGTTACCTGGTTGAACAACATCATTTTGTTCTAAAAATAAAAAAAATAATTAATATTTATAATATTTTAATGAAGAAATTTATAGAATATCCATATTATTAATCATTATTACTATTGTTGCTATTATTATTATTATTATGAGCATGTTATTTATTCACATACCATTTTTAACAGTAAGAGTAATAACACCAGTTTCATCACCAACAACAGCTTCTGAAATAATTTCTTTTTTATCTATATCTTTTTCAATAACAACTCTAGTGCTAATAACTTTTAATACCAAGTTATGGCCGCTGCTTAATGGTTTTAATGATGATACTTTTACAACTATTTGTTTAAAATTAAAATTGGTTAATATGGGGAAGTTTTAAAAAATAAAGTAAATAAATTACATACAAACTGCTTTGGCTAAAGGTCTGCTATAATTATTACCTCTGGTATTGATTATGTGTGCTTTACTAGTATGACCATTATTATCATCATTATTGCTGTTATTATTGATATTATTAGTATTATCGCTATTATTCTCCATTGTTGAATTGTTTATATTGTGTTGTATAAAATAAAAAAAAAAATTAAAAAATTATTAAAAAAAAAAAATGAAAAAAATGAAAAAAATTAAATTTAAAAATTAATTAAGAGAAAAAGAGGAAAAGAGAAAGAAAGGCAGGTTTTTCCACTTTTTTTGGTCCCCCCCCCCCCCTTTTTTTTTTAAAATATTTTCATAAAAATGGAATATAGTTAAATCACAATTATTATTTAAAATTAGATTTGACTTTTTAAAATGTTTTCCAAATTTAATTAATCTAATTAAAGGTATCGATGATAATAAATTGTGGTCTACTGTTTGATTAAAATTATCACCAAATTGAATAATTCGTAAACTTGGGGGTAGTTGATCACTATGTATTGGTAGATTGTATTGATTACCAAATTTTAATTCAACTAGATTTATTAAAGAGCTGATTTTTAATTCTAGATTGAAATGGTCACTGAGTATTAGCTTTGTTAAAGAGGTTAGTGGAGTTGAATGGATAGTGGTGGTCTCTAATGTTGTGGTAGTGTTTGAGAAACGTACAGGATGGTCGAATAGTAAACCCATAGATAGATATTTTAATGATTTTGGGAATGTTTGATATTCTAGAGGTAGATTGAAATGGTTTGATAATGATAGGTTGGTTAGGTTATCAGGAAGACAGTATTCTGATAAATTATGATTGAATCGCTCACCGAGATGAAGTTCGGTTAAAGAGTGAGGTAGATGACCTGGTAGTATTGGTTTGTTAAATTTCGAGTATTTTGGAAAGGTTAGCTTTCTTAAGGAGCATGGAAGAGATTCTGTGGTAAATGCAGAGTTGTATTCGTTTGATAGTTGTAAAATCAATAATTTGTTGGGGAGTGAGTTTTTAAAAGGTTTATTATAGTTATTACCAAATACAATATGGGTTACTGAAATTGGAATTGCACCTTCTTTTATCTCTAGATTAAATCTTGAACCAAAACTGAGTATGGTAACTGATGGAGGAATTAAATCTGTTAAATCGCTATTGAATGAGTTTGAAAAAGTAAGGTCTGTTAAAGAGTTTGGTAGCAGTTTAACATATTGATCAAAGCCATCACCCATTACTAGTTTTGTTATGAATTTAAAATCATATTTTAGTGATTTTTGTCTTTCGATTGCATTGATATCGTTGCTGCTATTGTTATTATTACTTTTGGATATGCTTTTTTCATCATACCTAAAGTTATTTATTTGTGGGCTATTGAAATTATTGTAACTGTTATAATTTGGGTTATTATTTGAACCGAAATTTAAATATTTTATATTAGCAGGTATGCAAGAGTAATTAAATGATGTGTAGAAAAATGAATGAAGATGTAGCTCTGTGATCTTGTTTGGAAATGAGTCATGGTTAAGAAATTCTTGTTTAAAACCATAACTGAATTTGAGTTTTATTAAATTTAAAGGTAGTTGGTTGTTGATAGGTTGGTTAAAAGAAGTTCCAAAAACAAGTTCGGTTATATTGTCATGTAAAACTTTTTGTGTGGTATTTTTTTTTTTGAAAAAGTTTTTGTTCTTTATAACCATTGATAAAGGATGGTTATATTTATCCCCAAAATGAAGTATGGTGACAGAGTGGGGAATACTCGATTCTGGTATCAATTGTTGATTAAATCCATTCCCTAGTATTAAAGTATGAACTGAATCTGGGATATCGTTGTTTTTTAATGGTTGGTTGAAGTGATTGCCGATATTAAGTATTTTAATTGATGGTGGTAGTGAGATATTTGGTATTAGCTCTTTATTAAATTCACCAAAAGCAAGGTTTGTAACACTGCATGGGATATCCCCTTGATACAATGTTTGATTAAATTTATTCAAAGTTAATTTAACCACACTGGGTGGAATTATCCCTTTGATATTTTGATTGTAGTCCCTTAATTCCAATTCTGTTATATAGTTTGATAATAAACCTTGTCTTAATTGAAAGTCGTACTTTAAAATTAAATGGGTAACTGTATTGGGTATTGTACAAAAACCGATCTCTTTGAATGAGTTTGTTTTCCCTTTCTTTTTTTGTTTTAAATATAAATGAGTTATGTAATCTCTAAATTTATAATTTTCTATATTATTAATATCGCTTTTATAATATTTTGAAAAATAATAAATGTTATTATAAATATAAACATGATTCATAATATTATAAAATAAAACTTTATTTAATAAAACTTTTTTGAAAAGTTTTTCATTATTGTTATTATTATTATCATTTTCAACATTATTATTATTATTTTTATTTAATATTGGCTCCATTTTAAAATTTTTTTTTTTTTAAATTATATGATATGTTTTGGTTTTTTTTTTATTATTTGTACATTTTATTTTATTATGATAAAATTTTTAAAACAAAAAAGTAATGGGGTTTATGATGGTATTGTGAAAAAAAAAAAAATAAAAATAAAAAAAATAATCTTTGATATTATATTCTAAAAAAAATTTTAAAAAAAAGATTTTTTATTTTTTTTAATTTTAATTTTTAATTTTTAATTTTTTTAAAAGTATAATAATAAAAAAGTAGTGGGTAATAAAAAAAATTAATTAAACAATAAAATAACAATAAATAAAATAGTAACAAAATAGTTTATAAAATAGTTTATATAATAAAAAAAAGAAATAATGAATAGCTAAATAATTCTAATTATTATTGATAATATTAAAAACAATTCCATACTTTTCAATCATTATTTTTTATAAACCTCAATAAAATAATCACATTGATTTGTTTTAAAGATATCAAGAATGAGTAAATGTTATACATTTACAAAGTCCAATTTTAAAAAAAGATTACAAAAACACCCCATGTATATGAAAATATTCAGATACCCCCTAAGAACCTTTTATAGCTTATAATTGGTTGTAAATATATATTTGAGGTTTCTAAAGTTTCAATATCCACACCACTATGAATTACATTATAATCCAATATTTCTATTTGCTTCAGCAATTTTTTCAAACATTCCAACAAATATTATTACTATCGATATAAAAACTATTTTTTAATAAGATAAACTATATTTTTTAATTATTTTTTTTTAATTTTTATTTTTAATTTTTTTTTTATTAAATATTACACAAAATTATTTATTTATATATTTATTCTGATTTGCTAAAGGCAGCTCTTAATTCAACAGCAACTTTAACCATGTTAACCAAAGCATGTTTAACAGTGACTGGATTATTAGTTTTAAGACCACAATCTGGATTGACCCATAAGAGGTTGGCTGGGAGATATTTAAGCATTTGTTCAACACGGTTCTTCATATCTTCAACTGATGGAATTCTTGGGGAATGAATATCATAAAGACCTGGACCAATTTCATTAGTGTAACCATATTTTTCAAAAGCTTTTAAGAGTTTAAGATCTGATTTAGAGTTTTCGATGGTGAGAACATCACAATCCATATTTTGGATGGATTCAAAGATATCGTTGAAATCTGAGTAACACATGTGTGAGTGGATTTGGGTACTATCTTTAACACCAGTCGATGATAAAAGGAAACTGTTAACAGCCCATTCAAGGTAGATGTTCCAATCTGAATGTCTTAATGGTAAACCTTCACGAATGGCTGGTTCATCGATTTGGACAACTGCAATACCGGCGGTTTCGAGATCAACAACTTCATCTCTGATGGCTAAAGCAATTTGGTTACAGGTTTGTGAACGAGTCTGGTCATCACGAACAAATGACCATTGGAGGATGGTAACTGGACCAGTTAACATACCTTTCATTGGTTTGGCAGTAAGGGTTTGGGCAAAACTGGTGTATTCGAGGGTCATTGGATTTGGTCTGTGGACATCACCATAGATAATTGGTGGTTTAACACAACGACTACCGTAACTTTGAACCCAACCGTTGGCAGTGAAGACGAAACCTTCAAGATTTTCACCGAAATATTCGACCATATCGTTACGTTCGAATTCACCGTGAACTAAAACATCAAGACCGCACTCTTCTTGAAGTTGGACACAAGCTTTAATTTCACTACGAATAAATTGATCATATTCTTGAGCAGTAATTTTCTTTGATTTGTAGTTTTGTCTGGCAACACGAACTTGTTGGGTTTGTGGGAATGAACCAATGGTGGTGGTTGGGAATAAATCTGGTAAGGTGGTTAATCTCTTTCTTTGTGCATCACGACGAACTGGGTATTTGTTGATTCTCTTGAACATTTCTGGAGTAACAGCGTTAACTCTTGATTTAACAGTATCGTTGTGGATTAATTTTGAAACTTTTCTTACATTGTTTGATTCAACGTTCTTTTCATAGTATTCTCTCCATTCAGTGGCGTCAGTTGGGAAAGTAACAGTAACTTGATTATCAGCAACGGAAACAGTGCATGAGTTGAAAACAAAAGCAAGGAAAGCAATTTCTTTTAATTTTTCGACGGCAAAAGCTAACCAATCTAAAACTTCAGCTTTAACGTAACCAACTTCTTTGGCTAAGGAGTGTGGGGAATGTAATAATGAACATGATGGTGAAACAATAACTCTTTCGCTGCCGAATAAATCGATGGCTTTTTTAACAACAATGATTGAATTATTTAAATTATTTTTCCAAATATTTCTACCTTCGATGATACCTATAATTTTAAAAATAATAAAATTAATATTTTGTTATAGAAATTAAAATTTGAAATAAAAAATAATTATAAAAAAATATTTACCAATTGAAACAGTCCAGGTTGATGGGATTTTAGCTAAAACAGCATCAAAAGCAGCAGATGAAGATCTAACTCTATCGATGTGAACACCATTAATTGGGAGTGAAGTAATTAATTCGATATTTTCACGAACTTCACCGAAATAAGTGGCAATTAAAATATTAACAGTTGGGGCAACTTTGTGGATTCTATTATAGGCAACTGAAAAAGCATTTTTAATGAGATCAGCTCTAGTGGTATCTTCTAAAAGATCGAAACAAAGAACTGGTTCATCAATTTGAACAGATTTAACACCGGCGGCAACTAATTGTTCGAAGAGTTGTTCATAAACTTTAACTAAAGCTTCAAGGTGAACTAATGAATCGAATTTAGTGGTGTATGGTTTGTTGCTATCGGCTGATTTACCTAATAATAAGAATGAAATTGGACCTAAAATAACTGGACGGGTTTCAATACCAAGAGCTTTAGCTTCTAAGAATTCGTGGACTGGTTTTGGTGCAGTGTAACCGGCGTGGTTGGTTAATTTAAATTGTTGTTCAGCTTCAAATTCTGGGACCATGTAGTGATAGTTAGTATCGAACCATTTTTTCATTTCAAATGAACCAACATCAATTTTCTTTTCAACTTTAGTGGCAAAAGCACCTTCAGTTTCGGTGGCAGCAACTTCAGAAGCAGCTTTTTTAGTTTGATAACCACGAGCCATGGCAAAATAGGTACGGAAACCATTTGAGTTATCTTCAACTTCGGATTCGACAACTGGTTCATAACGTTTTGGAATGGCACCAAATAAAAGAACATGATCTAAAACGTGATCATATAATGAAAAATCATTACTTGGGATAATGTTAATACCAGTTTCTTTTTGTAAGGTCCAGTGTTTAGCTCTAATTGATTTAATAGTATTTGAAAATTCGACTTCGTCAACTTTACCCTAAAAATTAAAAATTGAAAAATAAATTAAATAATTAATATTGATTTTTATTTTTTTTAAATTATAACTATTACTACTTACAGCCCAGTAAGCTTCAACGATTTTTTTTAAGTCACGGTTTTCACCCATACGTGGGAAACCTAAATTTGATGATGATACCATTTTATTATCAATTATTGTTATTTAAACTCAAAGAAAAAATAATAAAAAATAAAATTATGCTATTTATATTTTTTTTTTTTATTATTTTTTTTATTATTTATAATTTAAAAAAAGTAAATTAATAACGATACTTTTTAATTTCTAAAAAACTATACTTTTTTCACCTTGACGTGTAAAATATTATATTACTCCTTGACGTGTAATTTTTTTTTTTTTTTTTTTTTTTTTTTAACAGATAAATAATTGTATGTTCTCATTGACGTGTAAATAAATGCTATATGGCAAGCAATACTAAATCAAAAATCTTTGGTATTCACCTTATTTATTTCAGATTTCTAAATTGTCCCTTGGAATTTAAGAAAATTTATGCAAATTATTTTATTTTTTTTTGAAATTATTTTTTTATTTTTTATTTTTTTGTTTAAGAAATTGACTCAACATCACTATCATTTTTAAATTCCCCCCTCAATCTTAATCATTGTTATTTTCATTTTAATTTTTTATTTTTTTATTTATTTTTTTTTTTTTTAACAACTTCAAAAAACATTGACCTCGTAATTAAAATATCTTAAGCTGACTCAATGGTTAAATTACATTATAATTTTTTTTTTTTATAATAAATAAAAATATAATTTTCTTTTTATATATGAACATCTGTAAAAATCACCCCTGTAATTTTTATCAATATAATAAAATATATATTTTATTATAAAATTATTTTTTTTTAAAATTGCATATTTCAAAAAATAGAAAAAAAAAATTACGGTGTAGAAAAAAAAAAAATATTTAATGTATATAGTTTTTTATTAAAGATGGTTAGTTTTTTAAAAAATAATAAAATAAAACTTCACAATATAACAAACTAAACTGTTTTTAACACTTAATCTATTTATTTAGAAATATATTTATTTATAAATTATCACTAGATTGCTATAACATGCATCAAAGTTAACAAGTACCCCAGAGGCAATATGTAATCACTTAGAACGAAAATTAACCGACATAAAAAAATGACACTAAAAGTAAGATATTGTCAAATGAGAAAACATATTGTTTGTATTTTTTTTAAATTTTCAAAAGTTATAATTGTACTAATAATATTTTTTACATATAATCGAAAAAATAAAAAATTTATAGTTTGCACAATATGTTTCACAAGTGTTCTACATATACTCCTGCGAGAGTGTTTAGGTGTACCATCTACAAAAACCAACCAATTAATTATCTGTTTGGTATCAAAAAAGGTTCTAAAAAGTAATAATTTCAACATAAAAGATACAAGAAAAAGATAAAAGTTCCATTAAAAACTCTTTAAAAACTTTAATAGGGCAATTAAAAATTAACACAATAATTTAAATAATCAGAAATTTTATACATACAACCACCAATAATTACAAACAATCATTTAATATAATTTCACAAATATAACCAATCGTTTATCACATCTTTTTTTTTAACCCACAAAAAAAAAATTCAAAATATAAATAATATATTAATTTGTTATAAATAATTTAAAAAAAATATATTTTTATTTTTATTTTTATTTGTTTAATTAATCTTAAAATCTTTATTTTTTTTCTCATATAAAATTTTACCTTTTTTTTAAAAAAGTATTTTGAAACCTATTTTAAAATAAATATGCATTATTGGATATGTTTTAAAAAAATATAAAATGAAACTTTTAATTATTTTTTATTTGAACCAATTTAATTTATATTTGGTCATTTATATTTGGTCATTTATATTTGATTAAACAAATATAAATAAAAATCTGATTTATAAATAAATCAATTTCGATTGGATTACAACTTTTTTGTAATTATAATATTAAACTTTTTTCTATAAATTATAAAAACTACAAATCATATAAAAAATTAAATATAATTAAACCGATATTGATAAATTTATCCAAAAAAAAAAAAAACGAAAAATTTTTAGGGGGAAATTACAAATAACGAAAATAATTATAAATAAATATAAATGAATATATATAAACTTAAAATAATATTTTAATTTTATAGAATGAATATTAAAAAATACCTCATAATTGGACAAAAAATAAAATAAAAATAAATCCGATATTCTAAATCTAATTATAGATACAATACAACAATTTAAAAATCTAATCGAATTACCAATAATCTGCGAAAATATCCACAATTACATTCCAAATAAAATTGAAAAACCCTTTTTTGTTTACAAATAAAATTCTTTCTTTTTTATATATTTAAATTTATGAGGATAGAAAGTTTATTTTTTACCACCAATAACAATACCATCATAAGTAGTTTTGAACCAGTTGACGGCATCATCTTTGGTAATTCTATGTTGGAAACCAACTTTGGCGACAGCTCTCTTTTTACGTGAAACACGGAAACCTGGACGAGCAAGGACGACGAAGAAATCCATACCATAAATACCGATTGATGGATCGTATTTGAGACCTAAATCAATGTGTTCAGCAATACCAAAACCGAATGAACCGGTGGTTGAGAAATTTTTAGCACGGAGTTCGAATTCTCTAACTTTGAGACCTTTTTCTAAGATTTCAGCAGCTTTTTCACCACGAACAGTGACGTGAGTGGCAATTTGTTCATTACGACGAATGTTGAATGATCTGACAGTGTAACGGGCTAAAATAATAATAATAATAATAATAAAAATGAATGACAATCGAATTAATAACCTGTTGTGCTAAAATCCACAATCCTCTTTTTGCTAAAATTTTTATCCATACCTTTTGAGTAAACTGGGGTTTGACCGGTTAATTGTTCAAGAACTTTAGCAGCACGAACTAATCTATCACCTGATTCACCAACACAGATGTTTAAGACTAATTTTTCGATTTTAAGACCACGCATTGGGTTGTCTTTCTTTTGGACTTCAGCAGAAGCGGTGGTGGCAGTTTTGGCGGACTATATAATTATACATTTTGTAATTGATAGGTGATTGTAATGATAATGATGATTTATAGAGTGGTTTTAAAATAATAATGATAATTTGTAATTAATAACTGCTAAATGTATTTATCCAAAAGATTGATTGACTATGAGATAGATTATGAAGGATTGATAAGAAATATAGATAGATAGAGATAGAGACATAGATACAGATACATAGATACCATACCATTTTCTATACGTAACGACTGTGACAAAAAAAAAAATTAATTTTTTTAAAAAAAAATTTTTATAAAATTTTCAATTTTAAGATTTTTTTAATTTTTTTTTTTTTTTAGAGTAAATCCTGCCAAAAACACCAACGTTAATTTTGGTGCGCATAAAAAAATTAATCAACGAAAATTTTAAATTTAAAAAAATAAATAAAGTACAAATTTTATATTGTAGTATTATTACATTGCTAAATAAATTATTTATTATTGGTTTTTTTTTTGAAAATTATTTATAAATAGAAATAATAAAATTTAAATAAAATTTAAATAAAATATAATTAATACTTTATTTTAAAAAAAACCCACCACAAACTTTTCTTTTTTTATTTCTTTTTTCTTTTTTTATTATTTTTTTTTAAAAAAATTTATTATTAATCATAAATTAAAATAACATTTAAATATATAATAGTAAAATAGATAAATTTAAAATAAGTTATTTTATGTTTATTCTTATAGTTTTTATTTTAGTTTGTTTGAAAATATAGTATTTTTATTATTTTTTTTTTTTTTTAATTTTTTTTAATTTTTTTTAATTAAATTTTTATATTTTTTTATTTTTTTAATTTTTTTATAAATATTAGACTTTAATCTAATAGCATAATAAAAAATGGTCGAATATGGCGACGATCAAGAATTAGTAGCAAACGAGTTGTTACAAATGGTATGATAGTTTGAAATTAATTATAGTCCATATATAATATTCTAATTTTTTTATTATTGTTTTGACAGCAAAATGAATCATATTGGTTAATTCAAAGAGAAGTACCAACAGTTTGTAAAAGAGTTAGGACTATTGTAAATGTAAGTTTGTTCTTAGTAGTTCACAATAAAGTTTATGTTTTGGTTTTTAATTTCCAATTTTTTTTTTTGTATTATTTCAAGAAATGTTTAGAGTTATTACATCCAATTGATATAAAGAGTATCGAGGAGGGAGAAGAAGAAGAAGAAAATAAAAAAAGTAATAATAATGGTAATATTGTACAGATTGAAGAAGATAACGAAGTTAATGAAATTTTTGATATACTAAAGTTTAGCGATGAGGATTTAAAAAAAATATCGAGCCAAAGATTCGAAACATCAGAGTATGCATTAATATATATTTTTTTATAAAAAAAAAATATCTAACAAATTTATATTGTTTTATTACAGAGGTAGCAGAGGTACAATAAATTTAAATGGTTGGTTAATAGATACAACAGATTTATATATAAAGACCAGATGTAGAACCAACAACCCAGTAGTTTATAAAGATACAATCTCAAAGAATACCCCATGGAGATTATCACAAATTCAAAATGCATATAACCATCTTCGATTTGTTGAGGCAGAGTTATCGAGTATAATTAGTTTTTCAGAAAGATATCAACCAGTTTATATAAATCAAAATAATAGTAATATTAATAATATCAATAATAACAATAATATTTTAACATCATCATTTATTTCAGATCCAATTAATAATTATAATAATAATAATAGTAATAATGAAGCTTCAACATCATCAGCATGGTTATCAGGAAGTATTAGTGGTGGGCCACAAACTCCAAATAGATTAAGTGTTAATAGCAGTGTTAGTAATAATAGTAATATAAACAATAATAGTAATATTATAAATAATAATGGAGTTATACCAGAGTTATTATCATTGTTCGAAACTGTAAAGTCAATAGGTGAATGGATTTCAATGGCAAAGGATGAGTTATTATTACCAAGTAGAGATATTTTCCCACATACATTATTTCAAAAGAATGTTTTAAAGAATTTACCACCAGATATTCATATCGATATTACAGTGGCCAATTGTGATATTCTATTTAGTGTACATGAATTACAAATATCATCAACAGACTCTGGTCAAAGTTTAGGAGGTATTCATCATAGTGGTCATTCAAATAGTCCAAGTAAATTTTTAAGAAAATCAACATCAGGTCATAAGGCAGTTGGTGGTGGCAGTCCTCATCCACCTCATATGTCTCAACAACTAAATGGTCAAGTAAATGGCAGTAGTCATCATGGCCATCATAGTCATCATAGTCATCATGGTCATCATCAAAATGGTGGATCACCATCTCTAAGTAATTCAAATGGTGTTAATAGTGGTAGTCAACAATCACCATTATCATCTTCAGGTTCTTCAATGCCAAGAAATAATAGTGGCCTTTCTTTAAATACAAGCTCAAATAGTTTAGCAAATAGTGGTGGCGTTCAAGATTTAAATTCAAGTTCTAATAATATTTCAAATACATCATCACCCAATTTAGGAACATTGTTGGAGTCCGAAGAGTACCACCATCCACCTGATCAATTATCAAAAAAAACATAGTATTTATCATATCTTTAAATATCATATTTGTTAGATATATTTTATATTAATTTTTCTTTTTTTTTTACAATAGCCAAATGAATAGATCAGGTAATACCCAATATGTAACAATAATAGATCATTCAGAATCAAGAATTCCAATTAAAAAATTATCAGATTCATTTGCTTTAATGACAAGTGCATATGATAAATTGGCAGATCTATCAGAAAAATTTATGGTTTTATCAAATACATCATAAAAACAAAACATAATTAATATATAAACATAAGATAATATCTTTTTTTTTAAAATAAAATTATTATTATTTTACTTTTAATACTTTTTTTTTTATAAAATAGTTTCTTTACCTTTATTTTTTAATAAAAGAATAAAATAAAGTTTTTTTTTTTTGGTTTATTAATTTTTTTTTAAAATATAAAAAGTTTATTTGGAACTAAATTAATTAACTAATTTCTTTTAACTTTCTTGATATAAATTCGGACCATTGGTTAACTTTAACCTTTTTCTCGATCAATTCGTCAAGAATATCATAGGAGCTAATATTACAAGGTAAACCTCTTACCATATGGTCAGTTTTGATGTAAAGACTCATATAGTAAAAAGCAAATTTCTTGACAGATATAATATCATCTTCGTCGAGTGGTGGAGGGGCTGGTGTTTGTGGTGGAGGGGCTGGTTGTTGTTTTTGTGATGGTTTTTTTCCTAATACAAATTTATGAGTGCTGCTGGATGGGGCTGGTGTAGATGCTTGTTTTTGTAGTTTTGTAATTTCATCAGATAGTTTTGATTTTTCTTTTTCTAATTGACTGATCTTAGTTTCTTGATCTTTGCATTTCTTTAATGCTTGGTCTAAATCCTTCTTTTGAATCTTTAAAGAATTCTTTTTGGATGATTTATCGTTTGTGGCACTTAAAAGTAATGAGATTTCAGCTTGAACTCTAGCAACTTCACCAACAGCTTCATCTTTTTCTTTTGTTAATTGTTGTTTTAATTGCTCGTGGTTTATATCCTTTTCTTTATTTAACTGTCTTAATCTTTCGTTATCTGCATCTTTTTCTTTATTTAATACTCTTAATCTATCGTTTTCTAGTTCTTTTTCTTTGTTTAATTGTTTTAATTTTTCGATTTCTATTGATTGGTTTTTAACATCACTATTTAATTTATCAATATTTAATTTGAAATTTTCTATATTCTTTTCTAAATTAACTTTATTATTATATAATTCATTTTCTAAAATTATAAAAAAAATAAATAAAAAAATAAAAAATTAATAAATAAATTTTTTAGTTTTAAAGAATTTTAAAAAATTTTAAATATTTTATTATTTTTAAAAAAGTTATATAAAAATATATAGTTATATTGTACATGGGGTTATATGAGTTATTATAATTATTATTATTGGAAAAAAAAAAAAAAAAGAAACGACAAACTACAAAATTATTTAATGGTGATAAGTTTCTCTAATTAATTCATTAGCCCAGTCCAAATATGCTTGGTAATAGTAATTAAAATTATTATAGTATTCGTTTAATTTGTGTGGGTTATTATAAAAATAAACAAAAGCAGAAATTACAATGGGTGATATAAATATGATTGGTAATAAAAGTGATGATGATGATGATAATGGTGGTGATGATGATGAGTTACTCTCGTTTTCAGTTTTAGATTGTTTTTCTTTAAGGTTTTCAATTTCACTTGATTGATATTTGTTGGTGTCCTAAATTTTAATATTAAAAAATTGTTAGTGTTGGTTGTATAATAAAAATATTACAGTTAGAGTTATAGTTACTTTAAATTCATTTAATAGTTCACCCAAACTTTCTTTTTCTTCAGTTAATGATTTATTTAGATCTTGAAGTTCGGCAATCTTTTGCTCGATTGAGGAGACATAGGTTTCAAGAATGGATCTTTCACGAGCTTCTTCAGCAAGATGCTTGGTTAGTTGTTCAATGGAAACTTTAGCATCTTCTAATTGCTCACTAGTTGATCTCTTATCTTTTTCGATACCCATTTCTTGGGCTGAAACTTGATAAAGAATGGTTTGGGTTTTAATTTCATATAGAGCATTAAATTCATCAATTAAAATTTTAACAATTTCACTGATTGTGTTTGAATCTGTCATCATAGTTTCTAGACTTTCTTCTTTAGGTCTTAATAATGTTGGTGAAAATACAATTGCTAAATTTGAACTTGTCATTTTATTTTTGTTTGAATGTAACTATTATATTATTTATCAAAAAAAAAAAAAGTTAATTATAAAAATTTAAAAATAAAAAAATAAAAAAATATTTACCTGGATAGTGTATAAAAATTTTAATAAAATTTGTAATAAATCATAGTTTTCCTTTGGAAGAGCTGATAAAAGTGATTTTATAAATGATATTTTGGCATTTCTTTCTCTGACATCGATTGAAGCTAAAAAGTTTTTATAGAGATCGAATGTGAGCAATGGCTCGTCGTTATCTCTAAGAAATGATTTAAGAGCACCACTGACTACGTGTGGGTCCATTTTGCTAAAATCTGCATCCTCACCATTTTCTAATTGTTTTTTCAATTCTTTAACTTGAATACTGTTTCCAGAAATTCTACAAATACCCTCCAATTCGATACAATGGGTTTCTAAATACTGAACTAATTGTTTGACTGCTGAAATTGCAACTTCTTTCTTTTTCTTTTTTTTTTCTGATGGCTTTAATATTTTTTTAAATGTTTTGGCCATTGTTTTATTATCTTTATTTTTTTTAATTGTTGGTGAGTCTTTTGGCCCCATTTTTGATTTAGTTTTAGAAACCGATTATTTGGTAAATTTAAATTAATAAATATAGATAACGATAAATATAATGATACAAAAAAAAAAAATATTATTTTTTTATTTTTTTTTTATTTAGTTTTTATTAAAATACAACAAGGCTATAAAATAATAGAATTATTTTATTTTTTTAATAGTACACAACAAATAATGGTTTTTTGATTCTATTATTAAAAAAAAAAAAAAAAAAAAAGAAAATTTTATTTTTTAAAAATTTTTTTTTTTTTTTTTTGTAAAATTTTTTTTTTCAAATAAATGATTCAAAAAATTTGGTGATTATCTGTTTTTTTTTTTTTGGGGGTTGGATATAAAACAAAAAATGAAAAAAGGATTTTTTACAATATTTTTTATTTTTATTTTTATTTTTAACTCACTATATGTAAATTATCGTTATCTAAAATTTGATTATTATTATTATTATTATTATTATTATTATTATCATTATTATTGTCATTATTTTTATTTTTTAAAGGTAACCAACCTTTTTTTAAAAATTCGCCCAAAGAGTTTTCTATCATCATTTGTTCCAATTCATCTTGAATATCATTGAAAAGATTTTGACACTTTGCAATACCAAATTTAATATTATTTCTATCGAATTCTTCATATTCGCCATCACTACTGTCAGAGCTGGAATATGCTGAACCACTTTTTCTATTGCCGAAAGAGTTTCCCAAAATAACGACAAATGAATCATCTGAGCATGAGCCGACAACACAATTACTACTGTTTGTTCTACTAAAGCAATCGCCATCAAATGTTGTTATATTTGGTGATAATGGTGGGTGTATTATTTCAGATTGGTTGGTTGGATTTAAGGTTGGTGGTATATTATTAATATTACTATATTTACTATTACTATTATTTGTATTGCTACTATTATTATTGCTTGGTTCAGAAAATAAAGTTTTAGAAATAAGTTTTCTAAATCTTAATTTCTTTTTTCTTTTTGGGAATGTATCGGTTTGAATTGGTGAGTTTGTTATAAAAGTTGAGGATTGTACTATATTATTGTATAGATTATTGGAAAAGTTTGGTGTATTTGTTTGTGAAGTTGGTGCTGATTGAGATGAGTTGAGTGAGTTATTTAAACTTAAATTTGAAAATGAGTGTGTTAAAGCATTTCCACCATCATTATTGCCAGTTGATGGTGATGGTGATGATGATGTTGATGATGTTGATGATCCATCTGAAAACTCGGGTATTATAAATGTATGCTTTAAAGTTTCTTTTAATCGATCTTTTTGTTTGCTATATATATTAATTTCATATCTTGAATTATCTCTTATAAACTAAATTATTTTAAAATGATTATTATTATTAACACATTATTTTTAGTTTTTTTTTTTTTAATAATTCATAAAAATACTTACTAATGAATAAATTTCTTCAGCAGTCGTGTACATTTCTGAAGGAGATCCATCCATTTTTTTAAATTTTTCAATTGCTTCCCAACATAATAAATTTTCAACACAAAATTGTGTTCCTAAAAAATCATAAAATGCAGATCTAAAAAAAAAAAAAATTAGCACAACATTATCAAAATTGTTATTTCTATTTTTATATTTACCTTGAGTCTTTATTGTTTATAACCTCATATAATTTATTTTTATTTGATTTTTGAGTTGCTGTATAATATTTAACTGAAAAGGTATCCATTTTTAATGAGCTTCTATGTTTTAATAATGAACTTTCACTAAAGCTATTTTTATCATTTTTAAAATTAATATCAAAAGAGGATAATGAAGGAGTTGATATTGATGTTGTTATTTTTCTTGTTGTCATTTTTTTTTTATGATTTTTTTTGTTATATTTTTGTGATACTAAAATATAATCAATTAAAAAAAGAAAAATAAATTTGAAAAAAAAATAAAAAAGGGAGATTTTAATTTAAGATTAATATAAACATAAAGAAATAAAAAGTGAGTTTTTAAATAGGGAAAAGAAATATAAAAAAACAAAAACAATTATTTTAAACAAAACCCAAATTGAAATAAACCAATAAAAAAGGTTAAAAAAAAACAATTAAAAAATAATTAAAATAATTTAAATTGTATGCAAATGATTTATTAGAAAAAAAAAATAAAAATGAAAGTTATATTGAAAAAACAACAACAATAAAACTTTTTAATTGTATGTGCGTGTGTGAGATGATTGTGATGAATTGAAATTTATTTTTAGGTTTTTTATGTATATATCAAGGTTTATATTGGTGATTCTAACATTAAACAATAAAAAAATTACTAGGAAAAGAAAAAAACTTTTTCCTATTTTCTTTTTTTATTTTAAATATATAAAAGTGACAATATCAACAAAACATAAAAAATTTAAAATAAAATAAAAAATTTTATTTATTTAAACTGATATTGGTATTTAATTAAATAACAATAAATAAAGGGAAAAAAAAAAAAAAAAATTTTATAATTTAAATAATTTTACAGTAATATATAAAAATAAAAAAATTTGTTATTTAATCCAAAAGTGTTTATTTTAAAATTTTTATTATTAATATTAAACTATTACTATTAAATGTGTGGTAGTGCATAAATATACACATTCTGTTTATATGGGGTGGAGAAAAGGTGTGCATGTAAAAAATATTGAAGGGTGTGTGGTTTGTGATTTATAATATCTTTTTTTTTTTTTTTTTTCTTTTGTTGGATATTTAATTTTGATTATTTATATTGTTATAAGTCATATCATCAGTAGATAGCATATAATCAAAATAAAATTAGTTATTATCGGTATAATTAATGATAAATCAAATACAATTTTGATTAACGTTTAAAACAAAAAAAATAAAAATAAAATAAAAAAGAGAGAAAAAGAAAAAGAAAAAGAATAAAATATCATCACTATTACTAGCTATTATTATTTTATTGGATGAAATTTAAAAATAAATACATACAAAAACTCACCCCCACAATAAAATAATCAAAATCCAATCATGCACCACCAATTAAAAAAATAATTATAATTTAAACCCCATACCCGTTACAATTGATTTTAGAATATTATTGGATGATATATTATTTTTGAGTGTATATATAATGCTTATACAGTTATTAATTTTTCTCCTCGGTGCAGTTATTGTAGTACTATTTATTAATATTATAATTTTTGGCTTTTGTTTCTTGTCTTTTGCCTTCTGTTTTTTTTGTTTTTTGTTTTATTTTATATTTTCTTATTTTATTTTATTTTATATCTTTAAAAAAAAAAAATAATTTTATAATATTTTAAAAAAAATAAAATAGAAAAAGAAAAAGAAAAAAAAAATGAAATAATATACTGTTTTTTATGATCGATTGAATAAGAATAGTTATACGAGTGACTTTTATTTAAATAACCAAATGGTGTGAGTGTGTGTGAAAGTTTTATGTGATGGTAAAACTGTATACGTATATAGTTAAAAATATTATAAAAATACCCATTTATATTATATATGTATAAAATAATATATATATAAATGAAAGTTTGGGTTTTGGTGTGATGTGGTGTGGTGTGGTGTTAATATTGATTATAATATAGTATATTATATCTCTTTTTTAGGATATATTTTTGAATTATTTTTAATTCAGTCTTGATATTTATTAATGTACTTGTTAAAATGATTAACTTCAAAAATTATTATATGTATCAT